TAGAAAAGAAAAAACTACTACTACATTTGACTTCTATTAAACTGTTATGGGAGAACATTCCAATGCAACTTTAAACTTGATTCGCTCTCACTTTCTAAGCATCAGTGATCAAAGCACGAACCAACGTGAGTTGATATATCAAGTCACCACTCCAGTTCCCAAAACACGGGTTCAAAAATTAAGGGAAAAAAAGCGTCAAATTAGTCCAACAGCCCAAATTACCTCAGTTTGGGTTCTCGCAGCTGCTGTGATTGAATTTGAGGCTTCTTGTTTCCTACCCACTGTTGACGAGTCTGATTCCAGAGAATGAGACCTGCAACCACAGGTTCCAAGTGATTTTTTTCTTTTTCTTTCTTTGCCTTATTGAATTCTACAAGTGACCTTGCAAGTTAAATTGCTAATCATTCAGCCACCAACCTTATTAACAAAATTTCATGGGATTAAAACACAAACAGCTAACCCGAGATAAATTGAAAGAATAAAAATATAGCCAAAAAACCTAGCCAGCAACCTAGAAGCCTTGGGAAAAAAACAAATAACTGAACTATTCAATCCAAGAAAAAATTATTTTATTAAAAATACATCAGCGTGTCATGTATGAATTAAGACACCAAGACACCTGGATAAAGTTAGAACAAAACAAAAATCTAAATTTAAATCACGAGGCCATTCAACCTACTTTTAATAGCTTTGTCTACAGCCAAAAGCATTTATATCCAAAAACAAAAAGAGAGGGGAAAAAAACAAGAAAAGAAAAGAAAAAGGAGAAGGAAAAAAAAAAATGCAAATACACATGTTCGCATGCACAAAGTAGCAAAGGCAACCATCCTTCGTTATCTCAGTCTTGTGAGAAAAGAAGTCAATAAACGCACAGAAGCAAAGGATGCTTAATGCCTAATGTCCTTGAAAAACATGAGCAATAAGAAGATACCATGATTTACAAATTCAGTGGGATTGCATGTTTTGCTAGAACCACCATGAGGATCTGGGGCTTGGTTTGTTACACTGGTTGATGAGATGCTTCCCTGTGATTGTACAGCACTATTGTCCATATCATGCGTGCTGGTGGTCCAGAAATCGTCAGATGTGCTAGGTTTCTTCACAGCCTTGCTTTGTTTTGAAAATTCTTTTGGTTCCAGTGTAATTAGTGTGGGCTTCTATAGCAACCAACACAACCACTGCTCTGTTACAATCACATTAAATTCTGTTATGAATCACAATATTAAATGATTTTCTCAAAAAAGCTACCATATATTTAGACACCACAATCTAATAACCAACCAATAATTTGGTTTACACACACATCAATTGAACGTGTTAGGAAGCCGAATTATGCAGAGTCTACAACAGCTTTCTCAACTCATGAATATGTTCCCCTTCACATCTATGTTCCTACTCTGGTCCTTAAGCATTGAAGCCAAGCACTCAGGCGAATATCGCATCCTGTGGAACTACTATTTGACCAGAATGATCGTCAACAACTTCAAAAAGACAACTAATTAGACATAGCCAGCAAACTCTTTGTTTCAACCAGATTGATCACACATATAAACAGTAAACTTACTAGACCCAAAGATAGCAACGAAATACCATCATGCTGTCCATCATCCTGGTTTGAGTATTCTAAACCATTCAAATGATTTAAAACCTGAGATGATGGCCAAATTTATCCAACACACACACACATATCCAGAACTCCATCATGGTTGGAGGCTTGGAGCTGATGATGAGCTGGATGCCAGACTTTTGTCAATTTTTTAACTGGTCCGATACACCCAACAACTTGTAATGTAAAATAGAGCAAGATGTCCAACCAGTTAGGAAGCATAGACAGTGACATGGACCCATGGATACAGAACAAAATGTAAAATATCTTATATAATTCTAAGTGTCCCGTGGTGTCTAATAACTGTGTTCTGCAAGGGCGTCGGACACAAATAAACCCTTCTATGAAGTGCCCATGCTTCTTAGCCAGCCAGCAATCAGGTCTACCTCTGACCTAAGTTAAATTCATCTTATTTCCAAAACTTAAAGTTTGGCCATGGGAGAAAAAATATTCCAAAACTAAACGGGGGGCATGTGGATCGTTAATCCATCCTGATTAATCTTTCATCATTTCAAGAGAGGCATACAAGTTCATATAATTAGGAAGTTATCCCACTATAATTAAAACCAACAATAAAAATAGGCTTAACCCTTTCATTTACGATTGAAATCAGAAAACATACCCCATGCATGCAATGTCTGAAATACCCAAGAGCCTGATCAGATCTGCCACAAGGACTTTGCAAGGAATCGAAGAGGACGAAAATCGATTCCAGGAAGAAAAATCAGAAAGCAATGCTGAAAGCCCAGAAATTTGAACGACGAAACGGAACGCAACAAAAGCAGATGGTGAATATTCGAAGAAACAAAACCAAACAAACAAAACGAAAGAGGCAATTAGATTTATGGCTAAAACGAATAAAGAGCGTACCTTGGAGATTTGATTCCCGAAATCGATAGCGTCCCTTCTGATGCACAAGACACCGACGGGACGGCGACTCGGATTCCTCTTCTTCCTCAAGTTCGTTCCGAGCACAAGAATACCAAAAGAGAATGGCGGATTGTGCAGTGAGTATTTATTTATAATGAATAAATCATTATTATTATTATTATTATTATTTTGCTAATTAATTCACTGGTATCAACATAAACAGTTAAATGTATTAAATTTATCACAAAGATTAAAGTAATTTCTAATATTACTTTTATTAACTACATTAAATTTCAAAATCATATTAATTTATATTCTTCTACTAATGTTATTAATTATAGGTATATATAGAAAAAAAATTTAATGCTGATTGAAACAAATTATAAAGTCTTTGAGAAAAGGACTAAAAAATTTTTGTCCTAAGAAGTGTCTTATGATATGAATTAGAGGGATTATTATTATTATTATTATTATTATTATTATTATTATTATTATTATTATTATTATTAATCCATGTATGGTGGAATATATCTAGTGGGTAATCATGTTTGAACACGAAGACAAATTAGGTGGTGAAGATGAAACTTCCATTTATGTTTACTTAGCCGAACCCCACACGTCGCTCATTGTTCAGCCTTTTTTTTGAAAAAAGGGGGGGATGTAATTATTATCTAAAATAAATGGAAATTTAATGGCTAAATTTATTTGTCAGTCAGCCTTAAATATTTTCATTTTTTATCCATAAAGATGTGAAATTAAACATTTTTCTGGTGAGCGGAGGTTCCAACTTTGACTATCATTTGATGTGATTGGATAGTACCACTGAAGATTGAAATAGTTGAATAGTTAAAAAAATGAAATAGAAAATTATCCATAAATCAGATCAAACTCAACCAAAATAATTCAGTTTCATTTGTTTTATTTGCGCAAAAGGGGTCTGATTTCCCAAATCACATCACCTAATGCTTTAATTATTCGACCACAAACACATCACAACTTGGCAATTGCTTTCATTTAATACTTTCTTTCCTCATTTAGTTCCATTATATTACCTTCCGCTCTTAATTATAAAAGCTACTCGACTGATTTAAAAAGATTAAAAAATAAGTTAAATTAGTTATTTGTCATAAATAGGTGATGCATTTTCTATATATCTTTACTAATCAAGTGTATTGACTATAACTATTATTATTAGAAGAACTAATTTGAAATAAATACATAAAAATGAGAGATAAAATAGATTAAAATATTATATTTAAGATCAAAATAAAAATCAAATAAGATTTTATATTATGAGTAAAGGAGGCAGTATAAGAAGAAAGTAGCACCTAACGCGTAAGTCCTGACATCCTCTCTCTCTCTCTAACTTAATAGTTAATAGGAGTACATATGGGCGTGGAGTAAACGGGGGAATAAGACAAGTCTAATTGGTTAAGAAAAAGAATTTAATTAAGTAAAATTTATTCAAGGGCCCGATATGGAACCAAAAGGGCTGAGGGAGCGTCTTTCAGCGTCGGAAAGAAAGTGCACCGACGTGAATTTGAAGTAATTGTTTGTGATGCTAGCAATAGTATACTTAATATAAAATTTATTTAATTAATTTGATTAGATTAAAATATTAGATAAACTAATTAATTATAAGAAATATGACACGTTTTTTTTAAAACACAATAATCATCTTTTTTAATACTTTATCTTTCTTTTCTACTTAATTATTGTTGAGGGAGATTCATAAATTTGTGAAAAATTGATAGATATGAGAAATAGGTCTTATATTTAATATTAGAATCATGATAGGATTATTTAAAAGTAATTTTTTAATCATAATTTATTAAATACAAAGTAAGTGTGCTAGAAGAATTGATTATCAATTATATGAACATACTTATAGGCACTTACTCCAAACAAACTCCATTCATATTGAGGGGAAAGGATTGGGTTTTCAGATCCTATCCTATTTTCTACCCTTTTATTTATGATTTTTGAGACTTTAAGAGTCAGGGAAGTTAAGATTCCAAACCTTTAAGTTTTTAACAGTTGATTTGCATTTAAATGAATTAATGAGGCCATAATAAGTGTTTAATCCATTTAGATTTATCTAATTCTGTGTTCTGAATTATTTACTTTGTGTAAGAAAGTGTTAGGATATGATTAAATTTGAGTTTAATAACTAGATTATTTTTATCCGAGACAGAATAGATGATTAGTCAAGTTAATTCGTTGGTTAAAGTTGAGAAAACTGGAGCTTTTCAGAAATTAGAGGTTTTAGATGTTAATTGGTGTTTAGAACGGATTCGTAGGGCTGTGTAGTGATTGAATTTGGATTTGTTAATGATAAATGAATATTAGAAATTACAAAACATAGATTAAATATTTAAAATTCACATAAAATGCAAAATTTTCATTAAAAGATTATTAATCCCACCTCAATTAATAAAATCATATGCTCGCAAGTTGCGAACAGACGCAGGATTTTTGATCGAAGCAATAATTTTAGCCTGGGGTTGGCGCAAAAGCATTCAAGTTTCAACCTTGCGGCACAATAGAAAAGAAATTTCACGGCTAGAGGTTATCGTTTGTTCTGAGTTTGATAGTTTGTGTGTGTTTAACAGTGGAGTTCAGGACAAGTGCTTGTTTCTTCGTCGCTTGTCGCGTTAGGCCATGGACTTTGAATCAAGCTACGATATTTCCGCCACTGCCGACTTCATCCACAGCCGCAACTTCACCAGAGTTGCTTTGCAAGTAAGACCTATTTCTTCAATTCTCCAGCTTGTTCCTGCCCGTGATAAAAGTTCAAATCTTTATATTACACTGGTAGTGATGGAAACACATGCTTGTTGCCCCAAATAACATATCACTGGGAAGAATTATTTTGAAGAACCCCCATCGTAGAGTATTGAACTGTAAAATGCTCAACTTGTTCTGCAGCTGTAATGACTTTCTTTTATTAATTTCTCAGTTTCCAGATGATCTTCTAAAAGATTCGACGAAAGTGGTGGCAGCATTAAGCCAACGTCTTCAATCACTAAGAGAAGTCGATGTCACAGGAACTGTCAATATGACAGAGGTAGCGTTGTACGTGATGGCAGACACAGCGTATGGTAGTTGCTGTGTTGATGAAGTTGCGGCATTACACATCAATGCTGATTGTGTTATTCATTATGGACAGACATGTTTTAGCCCGTAAGTACTCCTGATGATCTCTGCAAGATTTCCTTAGCTAGACAATCTGAACTTTGAATTTTGCCTTGATGTGTTAATGCTATGAATCCGGTATCTTATTTGCATAAATAATTGTTTGGGATGATAAATATTTAGGATGTTACATTTTCTGTGATATGGAAAATGCATGCCTCTCAATTTCATTGTTCCCTTTGGATCCTACTGTTTATTCCTTTTTTCCCTATTTCGCCAAAATTTTCTCAGTTTCTGAAGCAAAATTCGGTTGCATATATGCACTCTTTACGTTGCTGTGAGGATTCACATTCTATCTCTGGTGACAAAGTTCTATCTGATCTTTGCAGGACAACAACTCTACCAGCTTTCTTTGTTTTTGGGAAGGCTTCTATCAGCATACCTAACTGTGTTGAAAGTCTATCGAAATATGCTCTTTCATGTAGCAAGCCTATCATGGTATAACCAATTATCAACTATTTCTGTGATTTCATTTTTTTCCCGAAGAAAGAGTAATTGGATTTGTGATGAGTAGAAGATGAAGCATGATATTTAATAATTTAAACAGCTATCCGGCCATGTTCATTTACCATTTGGTCCAATTTCCATCTCAATTGCAGGTGCTTTTTGGTTTGGAATATGCACATTCAATACCACACATTAAAACAGCAACGTTAGAAGCATTAATGTCAAGTAGATCTGAGTTGAAACCGGAAGTTCATTTTCCTGATGTTCCGTCTTCGTCTATGTTTCCTTCAAGAGATATCAAAAACTTAAATGGGCTGGCGGAACCAGCTAATGGTTTGAACAATAATGGCAGTTCTAATGAGACTGGTGCGCCTAGGTATAGCATTGGAGGATTGACTTGGAAATTACCGGAGGGAAAACGCATGGATGACTTCTTTATCTTTTGGATTGGACATGATAATTCAGCATTTGCAAATGTTGTGCTTACATTCAATACCTGTGAAATAGGTTGGTTATTTACCCCATGTCAAAAGTCCTGCAGCTTTTCTTCATTTGTTTCTGTGGTCTTCTTTATCCAGTGCAGCCTCGAGACGTTGCACATGGGGATTAATCCTTGTGCATAACTGACCTACAATCTAACACTGTCATATCTAATCTTTTGCTAAGTATTGCAAAATCTCTGCTCATGCTGTCTATCTAGTATGTGTTAAATGTAAATCCTGATTAACTTCTCTGCTACAGATTCTTAGTAAATCATTGATTTAATTGTGATACTGGTGGCTGTAGTCAGATATGATGCAACTGAGAATCGAATGGTGACTGACTTGTCTCAGCAGAGGAGGATTCTTAAACGTAGGTAATAAAACACTGTCCTCAACTTTAATCATCTTATATTTTAAATAATACTTAGTTAATTTAGTTCTGGTGTTAACTAGTTGGATTGATGTTTTATGCAGATATTACCTAGTTGAGAGGGCTAAAGATGCAAATATCATTGGGATTTTGGTAGGAACTCTTGGTGTTGGTATGTTTTACCGTTAGAAATTTGGTCTTCCTTTCAAGGATGTTGCCAAAGTACTATTAGTTTATGAAAACTTATATTGTTGCATCCATTATTTAGGCATCATCGTCATACCACTGTAGTCATTGATAATGGAATGCAGTCTTACTCCCGCTAGCAGAGAGGCTGTTTCCAGACTCTAGGCTTTTCACTAAATTGAGTAAATTCTGAAAATGCATTTCTTGTAGTTATTGATGGAAAAAAGAAAAGAAAAGAAAGTGCATTTCTTGTTTTCATGTATTGAACTGGTACTAGTTCCTCCCGTCTTGAGTAGTTTTCCATTTATAAAATGCTTCATTTCTTTTTCCATGTTTTCATGGCTAAGCATAAATATTAACTTTTGCTTTATTAGACCGTATTCATTTTATTTTGGTTCCAAAACTTTAGTTTCTTTTGCTTTGCAACCAGTCTTCTTGTTGCCCTTACCACATGCATGTTATCTTTTATCTTTTCAATGACTAAGAACAAAAATTACGTGTTTCAAGTGTTTCTGTATAAACACTTGTGTGTTCTACCAAAAATGGGGTTTGATTTGAAACTGCTGATGCAGCTGGTTATCTTCATATGATACACCAGATGAAAGAGCTCATCACTGGGGCAGGAAAGAAGGCCTACACTATGGTCATGGGAAGACCAAACCCAGCTAAACTTGCTAACTTTCCTGAGGTAATGTTTGGTTCATTCGAGACTTCAAGCATAGCTTTTTTTATGACTGAAAATAAAGAATCTATTGTTAACAGTTTGATTTTCATCAGTGTGACGTTTTCATTTATGTCTCCTGTGCCCAAACTGCTCTACTGGATAGCAAAGAGTATCTAGCCCCAGTTATTACTCCATATGAAGCAACAATAGCTTTCAGCAGGTATCCTATCCTGTTATATCTCAAACTAACTTGTTAATCAGACTTTTTTGCCCTTTCCTGGCATCCATTCTAATCATTTCTTCGTTCCATGCAGCTTCACCTGCACCGTTTCTATTTTTTCCATTTTTTAATTCATAAATATACTAACTGGAAAATGACATTTTTCTTTCTAGGAATAGCAAGCTTCCTGTGGTTATCTTTTTGTGAACTGATTGAGACTCAAACGGTCAAACCCATTTTATGTTATTTATGCTGCTGCATTGTCAGAACTTAGTAGATTTTTATTTTAAAACATCGTATTTGCTGAGAACAAGTTCGCAGGGTCATTTCTGTTATTAAAAGGGATGGTTCTGTGCATGAGTAATAAAATACTACATTTTTTTTTTTTAAAAAAAAAAATGGAAGTATCATAATACCAAAAGGATCTTGATTTATGTAGCCAAAAATGCACTACATATACAATGAATTATCAGAATCTAGTTTCCATCTTTATTGGTATCAATGCTTGAATGTCTCACGTATGACGTGTCTTTTTTCAGAAGCTTGACAGTTGTGATTTGCTTTCCTTCTCGATTTTTATGCTAAAGTGTTTTATGTTCCCAGGGGAAGCCAGTGGACAGGATCGTACGTAATGGAATTTCGAGACCTAATAGAGTTGCCTCAAGTGGAAGCTGGAAACCAGGAAGAAGCACGGTTTTCATTCCTGCAGGTGGATATGTGGAAGATATTGATAACCATGGTATTGCCTGACTTTCTATCCCTTGTTTCTTTCTTGTAACTGAATGATAATGGAATGGTTAATGGTTCTGTCAATAATTTTCTCTCTTATAATGCTAATAACTTGTCATTAAGCAAATGTGGCCTTTGATCTACTTGTCATTGCCTGTTCTTAATTCCCAACCAAGAGTGTCTATATTCCCATTTAACTATTGATCGCTTAAAACTTCTGACCTAATCAGAAAACGCCAAGGAAGACAGAGAAGCCCTTGCTTTAGTTAATGCTACAGAGAAGGCACTGCAGTTGCGGGATAACTCTGGTTCTCTAATTAAAAGGGATGCTAAATCAGGAGCAGAGTTTTTCGCCGCGAGATCTTATCAGGGTCTGAATATTGACGATGAAAACGCTGTACCTGAGCCATATTTCATAGGAAGGAAAGGAAGGGCGTCAGGCTATGAAGACGAGAAAAGCCAACAAGAAACTTAGTTGCAGTTGTTGAGGATGAATGATGAGTATAAATGAATGTGGGGCTGACCCTGATATTCCTTCTCTTTGTCAATATGGGAAAGAGGGGCCAAACCTTGATTCTTGCTTTGTGTTGCAAGTACTGATTTTGGCTAGTGAGTTGGGTTAACTTAGTAGTTCCACACTAACATGCTTGTTGTATAATAGTTCTGGAGAATTTTGAATTTTGAATAGCAGCAAGCTTTTGTGGCTGAATTTTTTTTTTTTTTTGCCCCTAATGTTGGAGCATGATTGAAATTCCTTTTTGAGATATTTAAATGCTCTTCTTTATTCATATTGATTTTTTGTGGAGATATTTTTCTACGAGTTCCAGAATTCAAATTCAACAATAGCACTGCTGGGCCAAGTTCACTTGTTTTCGTAGTGGGTCCACTATTCCCCTTCTGTAGCCAGTTGCTGATGGAGCTTCCATTATTTCATTTACAAAGTTCAAGTTACTTGAATTTTATTGAGCCTAATGTATCACTTGTATTTGGTCATATATGAGGCGGCTCTGTAACACGGTCGTCCTAAACGACATCATATCTAATCTAATCTAACCGAGGAACTATATAAATTCTGTGTAGTATCTGTTTAACAAATCAAACTTTTAATGAGAGTTGAGTATATTGGTTCAAATTAAACAAAATACCCCGTCATTAGTAAAAGAATTACTTCATAGTATAAATTTTTTAATCCTTTGGCTCATGCCAAACGAACCCTCTTCTCGGTTTCAGAATCAAACCCATGACTCTCCTCTTACAGGCTAGAGGCGCTGGCTGCAAGGCACTTGGTACTCTTGCAGGGTAGGTAGGTACCTACACCCAATTGGAGAAGAACACATCAACACACATAAATCAATCAATTTGGGAACGTGGGGTCCAGATAATCTTGATGTCGTTAGATATTTCAAATCATCATAGCCCCTCTCGAACCATTCCGTAACCAAATGTTGAACCTAGTCGAACAGTCAAACCAATGCATGAGAGATGAGAGAAATTTGTGGAATATGTGAAACTCCAGAGAGTTGAAAGAGATAACACGTGAAGATGAGAAAGTGAAACATGAAATATCGGTACTTGAGGGGAGAAGATTAGTGGTGGGAAATCAAGGTGAATGTTAGGTAATTGGATTGGCTTGAGACAAAAGTTGGGTTGGTCAAATCAGTTGGGGCTGCCTTCATTAATCTTCACAGAGCATCATCATGGTACTTCTTCTGCTGCCTTAAGGATTTCTGTGATCTAATTTGCTTCTTTGGTTCTTCTCCTCCCATGTGATTCCTTTTGCTCTTGCCCAACTATTCACGGATCTTCATTGTCTGCTCTAACAGATGGCATGCATGATTAAACTTGAGATATCAGCCGTTAGGCTATAAGGCCCCACCAGCCTCCCATTTTCCTTCACTGGGGGGGGGGGAGAGGGAAAAAAAAAACTTTTGCATTCTAGGATATAAAATTTTTCTCATATATTTTCTTCGAACAGTCCCGAATCACTTAGAATAAGCTTTATCTAGATAAATATATGGTATGTGATATGGGTCTTATATTTAGCACCTGAAAAGTAACAAAGTAGAGGGAAAATGCAACAAAGAAGTGTCCAAACATGGCACCTATTTTTTTCTCGGGTTGTTTTGAGATTTTTTTTTTAATAGCATTTCATAAATACTACTCTTCTTGTTTATGATTATAGAAGTCAGATAACTAATTTATGAATATTAAAAAAATAGTTATATTGATTATTTGTTAAAAAAAAAAAAGAAGAGCATATTGGTTTTCTCAAAATACTTCTAATAATTTGTCTTAGAAATAATCCTCATTGATGGAGACTCACGTATATATGTAATTAAAAGATATTTTGAAAAAAAGTTGAGAGATAAATAATATTAAACTCTTTTTTTTTTTTACCAGAATATTAAACTCTTATGTTTAACATCAAAGCAAATCCATGTATTAATTCTTTTTATTTAAGACATGATGAATCAATAATTTTCATTTGTAATATAATATAAAACCTTATAATGCGACGGCAGTACGGTACAACTCGTTAATTATTATTAGAAAGTTCCATTCTTCCAAAAGATCAAACAAATCAAACAAAAGAGCATGATTAAACATGCCATAGAAACAAACAAATTCACAAATCATAAAACCAACGAACATAAATAATGAAACCAATATATCTGAGTGGAAGATTTTATTGGGGGCTTGACGAAGATACTAGAATAGGTTTGTTGAATGTGATGGGTTGGATAAAGGGTATCACAGGACACAAAAATATGATTCTTAGAAAGTTGCGGGGAAAAAATCCATCTTGGTAGTTATGGAAGATAAAATAATGATTCTGAGAAAGATTATACTCTTCTGATTTTAAATATAAGAACTATTTTGTAATATAATTTATATTATAAAATTAGTTTTATATTTAGTACCTAAAGAGTATTAAAGAATAAATTCTTAAAATATTTCCAACAACACGTGAAAATTGCCATAAAAAATTGTTCTCATCAATAAAATTTGGTCCAAAAAATCATTATCAAACAATATTCTATAAACACAAGTAAAAATAATTCAAAATGCAAGTATAATTCCTGTATATTATAAATAATATTCCTCAATCATCCATTAGAAGTTGGCCAAAAAAAACTCTCCATTAAAAATTATAAATTTTTCTTGCTTTTTTTTTTTTGGGTCATCAAAAGCATGTTGTCAAAACATATTGGGTCTAACAGCACATATCCTTTTTTCAAAGTGGTTATAAAGTTTTAAACTCGTTCTCCATGTGTAAGTATATTTATATGTTGAAATATTAAAAGAATTTTTAATGTTTAAAGTTAATATAATTTTTAATCTTTAAAATTTAATTTGATTTTCATTACTAAAATTTGAAATCATGTTTTTTTTTAAATCAAAAGTTAAAATGAGATCCAATTTTAAAAATTAAAAATTATATTAAACTTAATATTATGAAGTACCATGTCTTCTTATAAAAAAAAAAAAATCTTGTTCGACCTTGGAAATATGAAAACAGTGCTATTTTGTTTCCACCACATCTATAGTATTTTAGTATTTATTTGACGAAAAAGTATAATCTTTTTTGGAGCTGAAGACGAAAAAATATAATATTAAAAAACAAAAAAAGGGAAGAAATGTGAGGGTAGGAAGAGAATAAATTTAAAAAAAAAAAATTGGTGTCAATGTCGTGGAGGAACAGAGAAGTAATTCCAAACACAAATTGAAAGAGATACAGAACTCTGTCCATCATGAGGGTTGAAGACAGCTGAAAGGAAAACCTCTTTGAGTTGGCCCAAGCTCCCTATTCTCTCTCTTTATTTACAGCCACACGAATTCTCTCAGATTTTTCATAACTTCCCTCTCCACAAACAGAAAATTACTACCAACTCATTAATTAATTCCTAAATTAAACGATCGAAACGCAAGAAAACGCTTCGTACAGAGGGACACGACAAAGTCTTGTTCGTCTCTTGGAGTTTCCTGTACCTGTTGGCATCTCGATCTTCAGTTCTTGACGATGAATCCAGAACTGAAAGCCTTGAGATGACGATGATGATGACGACGACTTCATCGTCAGCAAGAGTATTCCAGCCTGTGAACTCGATCTCTCAGAATCCCGTTGTACAAAGCGATTCGATTCTCTGGCATTCGTCGGATCTCTGGGATTTCGTATCTGCAACTGCTCGATGCTCTGCTTTGCTTCCCCTGTTTTTCTCGGAGATCCTTCTTCTTGGTTTCGGTTTCGGGTTCTTCCTTCACATTATCTGCGAATTTCACCCTCTTCGTCTTCTTCTTCTTCATCCTGCTTTCCCTTTTCTTTTCCTCTGGAAAACCCAACCAAAAAAAATGAACAAAGAACAAAACTTTCTCAAGCGAGCGACGAGAAGAAGCATCGATCAGAAAGGAAAACGAAATAACAAACAGAAAAACAGGGGAAGTGAAGTAACCTGAGTATAAGCAAGAACGGAGAGCTTTCTTGTTTGGGTGTTGGGAATTTGAATTTGAATTGCCGGGAAGATAGGGAAGAGGGAAAGTCTTCTGTCTGAGGAAACCAAGATAAAGAACGGTGCTGGAGACAAGCATAGCGGTGGTCAGAACAAGACCCTGGGAAATAGAAGAAGAAGCCATGGGAGAGAGAAACAGAAAGACTCGTGTTGACCAAAAAAGGAGACCGCAGAGATATATATATGGAGGGGGGAGAGAGAGAGGTAAAGTAATGAAGAGTCACGGGAAAAAGGGAGGGGTGGTGGGGAGGATAATGAAGAGAAAAGAAATTTCCAAGAAAAATGGGGGGAAAGAGAGAAGAAGGATAGGAATTAAGAGTTAGATTGGTTGAGACAGAAGAAGCGTCTGGATTTGTCTAACAGGGGAGGGAAGGGCAGAGAGAGAGTTTGAGTGGGGCTTTGCTTACTAAAATGAAAGAAGCTATTATGGAGAGAGAGAGAGAGAGAAGAGGGAGAGAAGGAAGGGAATGAATGTTGAATCCGGTTTGCGGTTTGGGTTTTATTGTTTTGATGGAAATGAAATGAAGTGAGTCGTCAAGTCTGAAGTCCTTGGGATGACTTGTCGGCTTTGGATTTTGTTGTCACACTCTGCAAGTGGCCTCCCAATTCTCCACATCCGCTCTTTCCACGCGGGGTAAAACCATAATAATAAACTACCCCTAAATGATTCAAAACTCAAATTAATCCCCCCAAGATTAAAGATAAAGAAAATTACAATAAGGTCCAAACAAGAAAAATAATAAAAACAAGTCTCAAAAATTGTCATTCTTACTATAGAACTTGTCATTATAGGCTGTTAAGGTTGTTATTGGGATTTTTTGATAATTGTTTCTCTTTTGTGGGACTTGATTGTAATTCCTCCTCTTTTCCCTTAAAAATATGACATAACAACAATAGGATCTTAGGACTTATTCAAAATGACTTATAAACAAAAAAATACAGAATAACTATAAAATACAGAATAAATATGTATGTAAGAAAAATTTTATCTTGACTCACATTGAAATATACTTATTTATTGCAGATTCAAACAAACTGCAAAGGTGGATGAGATGATCTTACTGCCTCTCACTTAAAAAAAAAAAAAAATCCTCATATGTCATCTCTCTTGTTACAAGTAAATTTCCTAGTAAAACAATGCAAAATAATATACATATGTGTGTGTATAAAAAACAATCAAAATTTTGAGACTTGTGAAGTGATTAAAATGGTAGGGCGAATTATCACTATATTTACAAACACAAGTTTAATCATGAGTTACTATAATGGCATTGCAACCAAAATAATAATAATAATAATAATTGACTAGCAAATAATAACTATAATAGTATTGCAAATAGGTACTATCTTAATTAAATGAGCATTTTTCAAGTTAAGTTACTAAAGATTATCTGCAAATAAATAGTGTTATTCTAAGTTTTATGAAAGATATGGTCGATATGCTTATATGGATGCATAAAAATAAAATGGCCTCCATGATGAGGTTATAAAATGAGGATTAAAGAAGTTGGAGATTGGCCTCTAACAATGATGATTAAAGCCTAATACACGCTTGCTTTTCTTCTCTCTTCTTTTGGTTTCTTTCCTTCATTTTTTTAATTTTTTGGAACATATATAATTGTTGCTTTTTAGCAGCATATATAGTTTCCACTTGCCACTTCAATTGTTTGTTTCAACCAATGTCTATGAAAAAGGGAACAAACCGATTGCTGGAAATTTGGAGAAATCAAGAAAATTGAGATGTGATTTTTTGTCTTGATATTTCTAATATGTTTTATGATAATTAAGAATTGGAAAATGAAAAGGAGAATTGTTTGTCCACGGACTATTCAACCTGCCTGACTATCCGATTATTTGATTTGGATCATTGATTGAGTATCAGGCATGTCGGTAGATTTTCAAATTTCTTGTAAAAATATTTAAATACTCATCCGGTCCTTAATATAAAATCTAATTAACTAATTTGATTAGATTAAAGAAGTTAAATAAATTAGTTAATTATAAAAAATATGATTTTTTTTAAAACACTAAAATCATCTTCTTTAATATCCTCTCTCCCTTTTCTATTTGATTATAATTGGGAGAATATCGATAGAGGTAATTTAAAAAAAATTAATAAATATAAGAATATGTCTTATATTTAGAATCAAAATTAACTTAATAATTAGGTCATATATTAAGAAACGAGTGAGTATTTATATATTTACATATGATGCATTAGCTTGCCTAATTTTGATGACTCAATACTGTAATATAAGTACTAATTTGCGGTTCAGCTTTATCTGAAAATAATACGAATTATATAAGGGGGAATTATAATCAAGTCCTACAGAGAAATAATTTCTAAAAAGTCTCAATAACAATTTTAACAGCCTACAATGACAAGTCTTATAGTGAGAATGACAACTTTTGGGACTTGTTTTTCAATTGTTTTCCTTACTTGGGACCTCATTGTAATTCTCCCATTATATAATGTCCATAAGTTTTTCTGGTTTAAATAGAACTTAATTTTCAATTTATAAAAAAAAAAGAACTTAATTTTCAAAATTAAATAATTAATACAACTACAAGCTTAGGTCGTGCATGGAATTGATTAAAATTTGAATTCGGATGCCCATTAAATATTGTCCGTTGAAGGAATCTAATGTCGCGTATCCGTACTTTTCCGCGTGGGGAAATTAACGTAACGAGAATGACATTTTGGATCAGTATATTAATTTATTTAAATTTATAATCAAAATATTTGAAATTAGAATTTTAAAAAGAAGAAATAGTATAATCAGAGCTCTCTCTGTTCATTTCTCCAAAACGACTAAACGAATCACGTTAATAAAAAATTATTAAAATTAGTTATAATCAATAAATATGTAAAAATGTAATTTGTTTTTCAAAAAAACTCTTATTAATGAACATTGGAAAAGATGAATGGAAGGGATAAAGAGTGAAAAAAGAGATGAGAAATAATTAACTGAAGATAAAAATAAAAAAAAAATACAATAAATGTTTACATATACCCGAAATGTGGTTTGTAAAAAGGAAACGAAAGAGTAATAAAATCGTAGAAAATGAGCGTTCAATTCAAATGCCGGAAGCTTGGTGAATTAATTTAGTAAGTTTTGATTTTCATCTTTATTTTTTTAAACAAGTTTTAATTTAGGCTTTTATATATAAGCCATTCTAAGTCCCTATATTTTTATCGATTTAATCATTTATAAATTAAGACTATTAAGCTCAAATTCAAGTTCTCATGAAAATAAAGACACCAACATTTTGAAGGGGACCAAAAAAAATAAAATAAAATATAAAAATCGGTTTTTGAAAAAGAAAAGAAAAGAAAAATGTAATCTGAGTCGGCTGTTCACACACGACCAGTGAAAATCAGTACTAATTGATTATGAGCCAATGAAAAATCAACACATATCCACAAGCATGAAGAATTAATCAACCACCGTTTGACACGCGTCACATAAAAACCACAAGGCATTACCCTTTCCATCAAGAAAATTGATGGATAATTTTAGAATGTAATATTAATTAAGAAGACATTCTCATGATTACTTTTTTCTCTCTATGTTTATATTCTTTTTGCTGAAAAAAAATAAAAATAAGGATATATTAATATCCAACAATTTCCCTTTCAACAATAATATTATTGCTTCTGAGGAAACCACGTGTGCATGATTATTAAATATTTAAAACCACAGTATTTGAGTACGCCTTGCTTTCTAAAAAGCTAAATAATTATCATGATTAGCTCCTCTAAAACCAGTGTTTGAGTGTGGGAGAGGATATGCTATAAATATTCTTAACTGATTAAAAAAGGTTACAATTAATTAGTGGTTTTATTTTTTTTCTTAAATTAACATAACATTCCAAAATTACCATTAAGTCTTTAACCATATTGATAGGCAGGGCTCTGTTTTTTTTTTTTTTTGGCCCATGGAGTTTATGGCATGTTTTTGTTCTCCAAATTGATTAGATTAGGGTGTCAAAGAGAGAGAATTGCATAATACTCCTCTGATCCTTCATATAAGATCTATTTAACTAATTTGATTAGATTTAGAAAGTTAAGTAAGTTAGTTAATTATAAGAAATATGACATGTATTTCCTAAAACATCATAATCATCTTTATTAATATTCTCTATCCCTCACTTATTTGATTATGGTTGAGGGAGTATCCACAAGAGTAATTTAAAAAAAATTGATAAATATAAGAAATAGATCCTATATTTAGAACTAAAATTAACTTAACAGTTAGGTCCTATATTAAAAATCGGAGGATTATAATTATAAAGGGTATATTTAGAAAAACTGAAAAATGACATATGTTAAAGGTTAAGAAAACCTTCTTAGAATGTATGCCATAAATAAAAGTGAAGGGAGTAGAGGAATAAACACTTGGATTAATTGATGGGTTTTTTTTTAATTATCAAAGGTATGCATAATATTTTAATTATTAATTTTTGGGACGAAAATGAAGAGGCTGATTATTGTCTTTCTTTTTCCCCCCTTACATTGGATTAATGTCTTTCTGAAAAAAGGGACTAATTAATGATCAATTTCCATTATAATGAATCATTTATCAATATATAAATTTTTAATATATATATAAAGAATTATATTGGTACAACTCATTTTGCATTATAGGAGAAGAAAGCCTTATTAATATACTAGTATTAAAATAAAGTAATAAAAATATTGTGTATGCGGATGGAGGGTATTGTGAGATCATTGAACTTGCGTGGTTATCAAAAGCATATATGTATCTTTTTGTTAGAGGGTATAGACATTTTGTTTGAATTACAATTAGACACTAAATATGAATACTTCTCTCCAAATATATAATTATTATAAAGAATATAAAATTTCATTTGTTAAAAAAATATATAAACAGTAAATTTCGTATGTCCTGGTCTAAAAAAATTGGTATGTCGAAATATATATATAAGATTATAAAAATGATATAAAATCCAAAAGGCTAAAGCTGAAAGCAAGGCCTTGTAAGGTTTTGCTAACTAACTTTCACCTGCCATGGATCAGTTGAGGAAATGCGATTTTGGACAAGCTTTTGAAACCTAAACAAATTGTTAGCAAATGTTGATAATGGAAATGGAGTTTTTGAGATTTAAACTGTGAGAGACCCAACATTCCCTTAGACCAAAGGTGAATTGGACATTGATCATCCTAACAACTTTATTTGAAAAAAAAAAAAACTAATGAATATCATTCCACCACCTTGTAAAAAGAAACCCCTCCGCTTAAAAAAATAAAATAAAATCACCTTGATAATTTGCGCGCATAGTACATGATTGACAAATTTGAATAATAAAAAACACGCGCTCACATTTAATATTTAACAGTGTCTTAAATAAGATTATATCTAATTTCAGATATATGTGCTTAGCAAAAAAATGTACACAAGAAACACGTTGGTAAGTTGATATATATATATATATATATATATATATATATTCATATATAAAGTTTGGGTGGAAGATCCTCAAAGTTTACGTAAGCACCTCAAATCGATGCATTTCTAGGAATCGCGGTGAATAACCAAACCCCCTCCTTTTTTAATAAAAGGGTTCGGTTTCTTACTACTGAACCCACAAATGATGGGTAAATGTTAAAAAGTAAAATAAAATAGTATTACAAATTAGTTACAGTTTTAAATATAAGAATTAGATAAAAGTTCATTTTGATTCTATATATAAAACTTCAATTTACTTTGCTTCTCAAATTCATAACTTTTTGCCAAGGGATAACTCTAATATATGTAATTAAAGAAGGTAATTTAAAAACCAAAAAATATATTTGTTATATATAACTAACTTAATTTTTTTAAAACATCTGTATTTAAATTAATTATTTAGCTCTAAAGGCAGTATATAAGTTCAATGACTTTCAGAAGAAATTGGCACTGGTCCCATTTTTTTACAATTTCAGTTTAGATTAGAATCATTAGTCTCTATCTCACAATTATGACCCTTCATTGAGAACATGACACGAAAGCAACCAAGTAGTGTTGGAGACTGCGTATTAAGAACAACATCGTAGTTTGATTCCACATGGCAGCTCGAATGGGAAAATTCCAGCAGATCAGCGAAACCTCTCACAGCCACACCTTTTGTTCAATTCTCTGTCGACTCATGTCATGATGTTACCTCTGGCTTACCCCATTATTGAATCCTCTGTCAAATCACAGTTCCACAAGTTCCTTTCCCAGCCCAATTTCCCCATAAATTTTGTCTTTATAGAGTACAAGAAACTCTTGATATGATATCTCCAGAAGAAACTGACATTTACGTTGTTTCATTTGATACAGCGTGTGTTTGGAAATCCTCTGATTTCGATCGAAATGTGCAATGGGAGAATAACTTTGTCTTAAAAATTGCAATTGCTCGTTGCCGACAAGTTTCCAAACACAGGCAAAGTTGGGACATCACAGAGTTATTCCAGAAAGCCAGAGAATAACAGATACGTGATGCTAAAGCAGCAAAAAAAAAACATACAGAAAAATAAAACCGAGTCATCGTATTAGATCAAACAGCTCCAGTCATAAAACCCGACAACAATTCATCACAGAACCTGAAACACCAAGAACTCAACTGACATGGCCATCCTCGTCTAGATAGTGACATCTACAGAGAGAAATCACACGCTACAATGTGTTTATTACATTAGCAAACCACTATAGTAAGGAAACCAGAAATTGAATCTGTAGCAGCAAAAGTTTATGTGAAGCAAGTACGAAATAAGTTAAGTTGTGAGGATTGGTGGCATGTAGTCAGCCTTGCCACCGAGAACACGAGCCTTGGTGTCTGGGAAAAATTCAAATCCTGGCACCTCTGTGATTTCTCCTTCTTCAGAAATCCCGATCGGGTAGCGAAGCAGGTGTCCAGGAAGGTCATGTTCCAGCGACTCACTTGAATAGAGGTCCCAGTACTTGTCAGCCATCCGGTTCACCTTCCTGACACATTCTTCGCTTGCTGGCTGGAGGAAGGAATCGTCAAGCTTGCCAAGGTGCTCATACCACAATGACAAGCGGAAACCATGGATCTGACCCCGTGCAGGCTGCCTGTGAGCCAAATGATATGGTTGATAAGCGCCCATGGCAATCTCGGAGTCCCTGGCACCATCCATTGATCTCTGGTTGATGTTGGCAGATCCTATGATTATGTACTCATCATCAACTGCAAAATAAGAGGAAGAAGCTCCATGAGCCGCTACCATCAAAGAATATCTTGAAGACAGCAAAAGAAATATGGTTATGACTGTTTAATGAAGGATACCGATTCAACTTTCAAACTCACCTATCATCATCTTGGCATGAACATAGATCATGAAGCGCCGGGCCTCTTGAGCTCTCGAATAATCAGAATCAGGATCTGGTCTTTCTGAAGGTTGGTACTCTCCAGGTTTCTTCAACTCTCGATTACCAAGGCAGAAGAATGTCAAATAGTTACGAGGATCTTCTTCAATTCCATTGGCCCTAAGCGCCTGAATAACATCTTTGTACATCATCTCCATTGTCCTCCTCTGCCAGTCCAATATTGCCTGCACTGACGCACTTTCTGGGATACCTTCTGGCCACATTGGGATCACAACATATACAGTGAATCTTTCCCCAGCTTCAATCTTACTGACGATTTTAAGTGAAAGCTCCTTTGGGATGACATGTAAAGCATTTATGTCCTCAGGTTTGATACCCTCAGGGCTCCAAGCAAAAGAGCTTCCAAGGAAGTACTGATTTTCAATATAGATGAAATCCTTTGCTCGTCGAATGGCATGAATATAAGCATCTTGAATACTACGATCAATAATATTATCCTTCCCACTAATGAGCCCAGCTTTGGCAGCATCTTCAGGAGTCTCTGGAAACCCAAAAGCAGCTCCCCCATCGATAGATCTAAATAACTGAACATTCCATGTCTCATGATCATCAGGAAACATAACTGGGGATGGAGGAATGATGACATCTTGAAGCTCTCTCAACTGAACAAGCACATCCTTCCCACCTTGCTTCCTCCATCTTTGTTCAAAGTTAAATAAAACATCCCAAGCAATGGGTCCTTCAAGCCGGGAATGGATGTCATGCCAAGGCTCCCTGGGACCACCTTTTGTGATAGCAGCACCAGGAAAGTTGGGTTGATGAAAGTCATCATGGTGTGCTGTGTCCAGAGTTCTGAACAGTGAATGGAATGGAGTATCATATCTACCATCACAGAGGTCAATACCCCCAACAAAACTAACAATTCTTCGCTGGTCTGATCCTCCACTTGGCAATTCACTGTCTACCACCACAATCTTCTGATGATGGGTGAACATGGCAGAGACTTGCAAGTCCTGAATGATGCTTCCCCCATCATCAGGATTGCGGGGGCATAAAACACAATGCACATCAGTGTCATGGAAGTAATGCTCAGTTTCTTCATCATGGGTAGCCATCAATCCATCTCTTTTTAACAAACCAACAGATGTTCTATCATCCCAAACAAGCATTAAAACCCTGACACCTTCACTTGCCTTTTTCTTGAGGAGCTCACCAATTGTTATGTCTCCCCCAGGCTTTGGCCTCCTTTTATCCCTTACCAAGGAGATCTCAGTATATACAGACCAACCGGTGATGTATATTAAGTGCTTGGCATTAGTGATAGCATCAAAAACATCCTCCCAACATCGATGAGGAACATATTTCTCACCTCCAGCAAGAGGTATTTCAGGGACAAAATTATCTGGGATGTGAGCATCTTGGTACAGAGAGATCTTACATCCTTGTCTCTGTGAGAAGAAAGTGTATGGAACTCCGGGAAATTTAGCACTTCTAACACCACGAGCCCAGCTGCGATCTTTGGTGACATCAAAATATTGCAGTTTCACGTGGATTTTTGAACCACCATGAATGGGATTTTTGTTCACATCCAAGATTTCAACCCACCTGTCTATTTCATCACCATCCAAGATATCCGTAACAGGCACATATGCCCTTCCAATTAAGGTTGCTCCAATAGGATTATCATCTTTCACAGTGAATATAATATTGGAAGCCATGTGAGCGCAATAAATGTGGAAAGACTCATACCACCGAGGGTTGGAATGTTCATTTTCTAGAATTCTAGTCCTTCCAACTCTGGCCTTCTCAAGATCGATGGTTGCATAGAGTTTAGTAACTCCTTTTCCAAAACCAACTGCCTCCTCAAAATTTTCCTTCAGCTGCAAAATAGCAATAAAAGAAATCAAATATGATGTATGAGAAAATGAAAGGGACAAAAATAATGCGACTACTTCTTACCTATTGAACATATATTTGCTGTACGCAAGCATTACTAATTTATCTACAATGACTGTATTTATCTGATAGGAGAGGGCAAAGGGCTAGAGAAATCTTGAATGAGCATAGCATTCTACAAGAATATTGAATAGATAAAGCAAAGCACTCAAGCCCGTGATTGGAAAGATTCCAGCTGGCTATCATAACTATAAAGTTAAGCTATCAAAATGAAATTCAAAAGCACCGCCGGTACAAAGGAATAGGATACTGAGGTAACACAAGTACATACAAAGAGTCATGTGATGTATAATTTCACAACTAAGATATACACTCAGAAGCCAGTGGCAACAAGACCTCTCCCTTCACTAAAAATCAATTAATGAAACGTGAATGCTTTAATTTTGACCTGGTAGGATAAGGTATTAGATCTAGACAAAAGCTCCAGCATATTTTGCTGTTCAATTCATTCATCTACATCGCCTAATGCCTGATCATGCTGACATGACCATTTTGCTGTTTAATTTACTGAATCATTACCATCAAGAGATTTCGTCTCTCCATGTTTTTCAATACAAAGGATACGCATACATCAGAAGCCAAAGGTCGAAAGTCAGGTGTCAAGATTAAATCATCAGGCGAAAAAGCTAATCCAAATAGACAAATTACTCTCACCTTGCTGAAGATATTGCCACCACTGCTCTTCAGCCTATCCACCTCAAAGATCGTGACGTGGAGAGTCCCATGGAGTAAAATTTGCGCCATCTCTCACCTGCAACCAGATTCAGAGAGCAAGACAAACCCACTGGGATTTAGATCACATGAACTGGCCAAAAACGCTTAAAATTACTCAAATCAACTCGAATTAAATGGCGTGACAGACCCCAAGAAGATCTCAGAGATCAATAATTTGATCAAATCACAGTTGAGTTATTCGAAAATGGGCGTGCGCATGATTTTAGATAGACAGATCAAAAGCTTTAAATAAATAGAACAACAGTATAAAAGCTTATCATCAACCCAGTTCATTATAGAAACAGCTAGAGAAATGAATTGCTAGAAATGGAGATAGAAGATTGAAGAGACTAACCAGTGCAGAGAGATCCGAATACCAGAGGGAAGAGAAAAAGGGGTAGTGAGGAACAGATCAGATCTTTGCTATTAGACTATTTCATTTAAACAAGAAGATACTACAGGGGTGCACCGAAGATACCCGAGAGAAGTGAAAAGGGTGGAAAGATAAAGCAGAGACGGATCCCATAAAACAACTACTCCCTCCTATAATATATTTTATAATATAAATTACACTTTAAAATAAGTTTTATCTAGAATCAAAGGAGCAGTTGTATTCACTATCACTGAAGTAACGGGCAAAAAGATAATTGCTTTCCTCTTCACCGATCAAGGGCCGTTTAAATACCATTTGAAATGATTTATAAGTAATTTTTTAATCTTGATTTACAAAAAAAATAAAAAATAAATATGTAAGAGAAATTTTATCTCAACTTACATAAAGCGTGTCTATAAATAATTTTAATCATAAAACCAAATAAGGCCTAAGCGATTGGAATTTCTCACCCACTATTTGACTTTCTTTCACCCCGTTTTCCTTACACTGGTGAAGACGCGTCAACCGATGTTGAAAGAGTATTTAGATGGAATCAAAATCATGATTTTAAAAATATTTTTATGGTATATAAAGTAAATATTTAGAAGAATTTATCTGAATTTGCAAAAAAGTGTTTTTTAAAAAAACATTTTTCATACTTACCAAACACTCCCGGGTTGCTGATTGTAAAACCATTTTTCGCAGAAAGCATGTAAAAATTATTGCAAATTAGGTAAAAAGTATTGTTGTAGACTCGTAGTTATGATCGAGTCCAAAAAAAAAAAAAGACTCAGTAGTTATGATCACCTATTTCGTTTACTTTTTTTTTTTCCGGCTTTTACATTGAATTTAAGAAAAATATATCATCTCATTTATGTTCCGATCGTGTTTGATTGTGGTCGATCGATCTAGAAGTCGGCAGAAAAAAACAAAGGACTTTTTTTTTTAAAGAAAAAAGGGAGCGTAAGATTTAATCAGTTATTTGTTAATGGGGGAGGGGTCAATTGTAAGAAGCCTGAATCCTCTGCTTTAAATTCGGCCTCGGTGCGATATTTTTCAATGTAGTTGGATATTAATATTATTGGGGTCCTCAATTGATTCGTCCTTTTATATTTCTTAATATCTTATGCTCGTTATTAATATTTTCTAACAAAATTTTAATTACATTAATTAATTGGATTCCGTCAAGGGACGCCTGCATTACTTAGGAGTGCGTGAGTCGTGGTGTTAGCTTTGGTAACTTTGTTTTGTTAGCACGCGGACGGTACTCACGAAGAACTCTACAGTTTCATGTGTTTTTTTCTTTTTTTGAAAAATATGTACAGCATATCTAGCATTCTAAATTTTGTAAATATAAAATTATACTAAAAATATTTTAAGATATGGACTATATTTGAGAAAATATTTCAAGGTGTTAAACACCACAAAATATTTTCAAATATTAAATGTATTTAAAAAAAATATTTGCGAATGCTAAATCTACCATTATCTTCTTAATTTTAAAAAATACGGACATCCCAAATTAAAAATTAACAGAAAAATATAAACTTTTTTACTAAACACAGATATCTTTCTGTTAGAGGCTCAAAGCGCTATTAAATACTTGTAAACATTTCTCTTAATAAAAAATCAAATTTTAATTTATCAAATTATGAATAACCAAATTTATCGGCAACAGAGAACTATGGATACGTGCGTAATAGTTTTTGCCTTTTTTCACATTATTACAGTACAGTATGAAGTTGTACGCTTTCAGGTTGCGCGGAGTCCCAGGACAAGCCATTGACTGAGGTTAGGAGTTAGGACGGTGATTGCAGCGTGAAATAATGCATTGGGATTGGGGAAGTCTAATAATTAAAGCTCATCTGTCCACCGCACCCTTTCCACACGCAATGTTCAATTTCCTTTATTTCGGGTAAAAGTACAGTTTTAAGGAAAAGTTCCAAATTAGTCATCATAACTAAATTAAAATTTTAAACTCATGATTTTTCACTTTTCTACTATGCAATTTGACTGTTGATCTTTTTTTTTTTTTTAAGGTACAATTTTACCCAAGATTTTTTCATATAATTTTAACCCAAGAGAAAAATTGCACAACGAATTCATGAATATTACAATCAAAATTAGAGTTAACAATCAATATTAATATTCGTTAGTCAAAAAACGACATTACAGTGATTTGATCTCATAAATAACTGAGAATAGCTGGTGCTCCTCGTGAAATAATTTCAAAATAATAATGCCTTCAATCTTTTTTTAATTCAAATCAAGCATAAAAAGTTATGCTTTATTTTTATGGGTTTAAAACTAAAATATATTTTCTTTTCTTCCCCGTGTGTGAGCATAATTAAACACATATGCCCCACTTCCTCTTGTGTTTTTTTAAAAGTACTCCGGTCCTAAATATAAAATCCTTATACACACTAGTATATAAGGGTTTTATATTTAGTATAAAAGTCTTATGTTTAAGACCAGAGAAGTATCATATATTAACTACTTTACGTAAATTAATATATTATTTTATAAAACACGTGGCAAAAGGTTTATAATAAGGGTTGAAGAGAGTAATTTACTCTAAGAGAAGCGACCACAATGATGTCTAGTCCCATTATCTTTTCTTAATAACCCTGTTGCTCTTTTTTCCTGCGACTATTATATTACTACTTCCGGTCCTAATTATAAAACCCAGTTGACTAATTTGAGGAGATTAAGAAAAGCAGTTAAGTTAGTTATTTGTAATAAATAGGTGTTGTCTTTCTTAAAATATCCTTACTAATCAACCATATTGGCTAGAATTACAATTATTAGAAGGACTACCTTGGAAAAAAAATACATAAATATGAGAGACAAAGTGGATTAGGGTCTTATATTTAGGATCAAAATAAAAGTCAAACAAGGTCTTATATTAATGACAGGAGGTAGTATTGTGAAATTGATTGAAGTCATTGGCACTTGATTAAATTATTTGTTTTTGACTGTTTTCATTAGTTTTTGTTTAAAAAGATGATTTTTGAAAATTAAAAAAAAACAATAAATAGTTTAGGTAAAGCTGACTACTAACAAAGAATTGGTTTAACAGCACAAGGCATCATTAGATTTTTTTGAGTCTCGAGTTTGGGTTTCAGGAGAGATACTTTTATAGGGCAGAAAAGTCATAATCCCCGAACCAAATTAGTTGGTGATAATATCCAAAAAGAGTAGTATCCGATGTGATCCTTAACGTAAGACATGGTTAACTAATTTGATTATATTAAAAAAGTTAAGTAAGTTAGTTAATTATAAAAAATATAACATTTTTTTTCAAAACACTATAGTCTTTTTTTTTAATATCTTTCTTTTTTAAGGGTAATTTACAAAAAATTAATAAACATGAAAAATAAATCTTACATTTAATATCAAGATTAAGTCAATATTAGATCCTACATTAAGGATCAAAGAAGTATTATTTATGGTGTATTTAGCACTTTTTTTTTTAGTGTTTTCAATGCCGCAATCTTATTTATAGTGTGTCCAAAACCTTAAATTATAAATACGATTAGGGTGCTAAATATCAATAAAAAATTATGAGATGTTGGATGCACTAAGAATATAAATAAGATCATAGTATTGGATGGAGGAAAAAATAGCGATATTCGGTTTACCCAATATTGTTTAGCCTAGTATTAGGTAACTAGGGCATATTCCCCGAGCTAGGTACTGTAATGTCGTTGGATGTATGTTCCAAAAGCAACAAGCTCAATTCGTTTTCTTTATAAGATTTTGTCTTCTATTGGGAAAAAAATGAAAATAAATGTCATATCATCAAAACATTTTAGTTATTATTTTTTTATGCTAAACAGCTTAGTTATTATTTGATGTTATGTATTTATTATTTTTAAAGTAAAAGAGACAAGAACATTAATTTCTTTGCCCACATTTTCCCACTTCTTTTCAATGATGTTGATTGAATACGAGACAGCGACTTTAAATGAGGCTTGTTGCAGCCCCCGAATCCAGATTAGTCTGGGGACGTTGTCACGACTGAAAGACGCCTATTTCCCTGAGATATCGGATGGAGTAATTCAAAAAAAAAAATGAGGCTTGTTGCAAGAGGGCAAAGGATTGGATAAGATTATAACAACAGTGCTCTCTGTGATTGCATGTCACATCCCCTCCTTTTCAGCCAGTAATGTCATTCCACCTTCGGAGGGATAATGGTGGGATCCCTTTCTTCTTCTTTTTTTGGATTACTCCATCCCGTATCCTAGAGTAATAGGTGTCTTTCAGCTGTGACAGCGACCTCAAACTAGTCCAAATTCAGGGGCTTGCAAGGATCCTTTTGGATGGTGCCCTCTGACCTCTTGAAGTGCTGCGTTCCCACATCTCAAACCCGAAACTTGTGATTAAACTAGGACAGTCCCAGCCAGCTGACCTAACCCGCGGGGCTGTGGGATCCCTTTCTTTGTTTCTTAAATCTCATCAACTTCGGGATAATTGGGTCCCATGTGATGACCTATATTAGTACATTTTAAATTCCATTTATTTAACATAAAATCTCTGTTTTGGATTCTCTGCCTTTAAATGATGTACCTTAAACTTCACGCCAGGGTTACCTGCTGGGTTTTTTTTATTGGATTAAATAAAGAGTACACATAAATGTCAATAAAAAATGGTTTAATTCTCAACTCATATTTCACAAGGTTATAAATTTAAATCTTATTATCAATCGATGTATAAGTACCTATATAAATGTTTTTTAAACTTAGGACCTGCTTGGCAAATCTTTAAAACCGTAGTTTTGGGTTCAAAACTATAATTTCAAAAGAAGTGAATCAATTCTGCTTCTGGCTCAAATTAGAAAGTATGATTGTGCCTGTCAAAATAGATCTCAAAAGTAATATGACTTTAACACCTCTCAATTATTTTTCTATAAACATATTTAATCTTATATTTTATAAATATATATACACATATTAATTGTTTATTAATTAGATTATCTTATATATTATTAATTATGTTGGTAAAAATATATTATTAACAATTTTATTCCTTCAAATTAAAATATATTATAAAATCCACTATTTATGAATTATTATATTAACTTATGTCTTTTTTAGTAATTTATATATAT